CACACACACAGTCCCGGAAGTGAGTGAATACACGGCTACAGATTTCACGGCAGAGTCGTCTGGCAGCAAGAACACCCTGACGTCTTTCCCAGTGACTGTGTGTTTGTCTTGTCTCAAAGATTTGAGCAACAGACAGGGAAGTTTGACGGAAGTAGTTCTCGCCGTCTGTAAGAATAAGTGTGGAGGCTCTGGGGCAGGTGAGAATTCAGCTATGCTTTTGTGAAAAGCGGATAAAGTCTCTGTAAAGGAATTCTAACTGCCAAGTTAGTTTAAGGCCATATATGTACACTCCACTTCTTAGCACCAAAATCTAAAATTAAATGATTTTTATTGGGGCTTTTAAAAAAAAAATCATTTTCTCCAAGTATTTCATTCAAGGCTTTAAAAAATTCCGTTTTTGGAATCATTACCAGTTGCATAATATAGAAATGACACATTAGAGTGAAATCAAGCCATCTGAAGGAACATTCTCACTTTAAAAACTCAAGAACTATCCATACTATCTATGAAGTAATTACATTGTTTAATTTGTAATCTGCACTCAAATCTTTTAAAAAAATGAATGACGCTAGCTTTCCTTGACATTCTAAATATTAATAATATTATTACTTTTAGAAGACATGCATATTAACTAAAAAGAAAAGCAGGCAAACAAGCAATTTTTTAAAGTAGAAAAGTAAAAAAACAGCACCTGGACATGGATGGCTGGTGCCTCTAGAAATAAATCATTGATGGTCAAGAAAAAATAATCAAAAATATTTTATTTTTAAAAATTAGGAAAGGCTAGCGTCATTTTATTTGACATCGCATGGTGCTCTTACTGTCCAAGTTTCGTGTCTTTATCTTGTGAGTTTTTAAATTTCAAAGCTGAGAAATGAACATTTTGAGGAAAGCAAAAGCAGAACAGATGTTCAGAGATATGGAAAACAAACAAAACAATTCAACGAAAATTAAAAAGCTTCCAAACAAAATGCCTACGAAGAATTTTACTAATAAAATGGATTGAATATGTGAGGCAGCGTGGTGGATTCAGGGTCTCGTCAATTTTTGGGCGTGTAGAGTTATTAGTATCATCTTAAAGTTTGTTCACTCGTCTTTATTAGGATGAAAATTATATCCATTTATCATCAATATAAGTCGAGATATTTGTGAATGAAGGAAGTGGGGGTCAACTGTTTTCAGAGGTAAAATTAATGAGAAAATGGTCGCCAAAGATTAGTTATTTCCTTATCTCAAGAGTCAGTGGTAACTGAAAATTTACATATTTTGTGCCTTTAATCGACGTTTTTCAGAAAAATCCACACAGAAATGAGTTCTTTAAAGGGCATGAAAGGTGTTGAGCCAAAAAACAAAAATTTTGTAAAAATTCACAAACCTGTGGAAAAAAGCAAGTTTCTACACTTTGGTTATTTTGACGAGAGCCTGATTCCACCACGCTGCCTCACATATATTACAAATAATGAAGTGTTGGAAAGATCTGGAATTGAAGATATCAACACAACAATTTAAAAAAAGAGAAGATGGATGTATCTAGGACATGTTCTAAGAATGCCAAAGACGACATTGCCCTATCAGACGTGGTATTGGGACCAACTGGGAAGAGAAAGCGGGGAAGACCGACTGGAATCTATAGAGGTACAATAAGAGATGAGGCAATCACCCAAGGCCTAGATGTGCTGAAATTAGATAAAGTGGCCCTGGACAGACAAGCGTGGCGTCGACTGCTCTCTGCCTTATGTACCTAACGGTATAGGGAGAGTGTAAGCAAGTAAGTAAAAACAGCACAAAATTGCTTTAAAAGATTGTATTGGCTCACAATGATACAAACTTCATGGGGCCATCTCTTTGAAATGGAACTTTGGGAGTATTTCCATTCGATTTAGCACATCATTTTCAAGGGAAGTTTCTTAAAACCCACAAAAACGTTATCTGGCCCCAAACTGGACCCCTAAAACCTGTGAGTGGCCTTAATTAAGAGGGTGGCTGCCTGATACTGGGATGATGTCATCTATTTGATTTTCTTTTATTCCTACACGTCTCCCTCTCTTCCCCCACTCCCTCCCTCTCTTCTCTCACTCCGTCCCTCTCTCCTCTCACTCGTTAGCCTCTCTCACCTAACTCCTTCCCTTGCTCCCCTCACTCCCTCCCTCTTTGTCCTCATTATCTCCCTCTCTACAGTCATTCCCTCTCACCCCTCACCCCCTCCCTCTCTCCCCTTACTCCCTCCCTCTCTCGCATCCCCCTCCCTCACTCCCTCCCTCACTCCCTCCCTCACTCCCTCCCTCACTCCCTCTCTCTCTCCCTTCAGCCTCCACCTGCCACCCGTACTCAGTTCGGATCCCTCAAAACGGCAACAAGACTTGCTTCAGTAACGGCGCCGGCTACACCTGTAACCTCACCTGTAACAGCGGCTACGTGTTCTATGACGACCCAGAGGTCACTCACAGACTGGTCAGTTGCTCCGGACCCGTCAGTGAGTTCTCCCCGAGCCCTGACGTCAGGTGTATCAGCCTGGGTGAGTGACTTTGCTGTGTTGTCCCGGGAATGGAGGGGAGGCAGGGGAGGGGACGGAGGGGAGGGGGGAAGGAAGGAGGGAGGGATGAGAAGGGAGGGTGAGGTGGGGGATAATTGGAGCTGATGGTGTAAACAAGGAGCCACATTCTCAAACTGAATGGAATTAAAATGTCCCATGTTCATTTATCGTCGTCATTGTCATTACTCACATCACCTTACATCAGGCTATGGGTGAACTAACAAATACTTTTCCACCTTTCCCTATCCTTTCCTAGCCTGTTGATGTTACTCCATGTCTTCCAACGTGTCTGTTCATCATTTTCTGTGACTTCTCTGTACTCACACCCAGTTGTCACGTGATGTTTCCCCAGACACAGACAGCGCGGCCAGAACGCAGCTAGAGGCACGTCACGTGATCAGGTTCACCATCACGTACATGGGGAGTAACGTGACAGACAGCTGCCAGGCAGAGGTGGAGAAGATCGTGCGCGACACGGCGGGCAGTCAGCTGGTGCTGGATCACCTGATCATCAGCTCCTGCATAAACCTGGGGGTCACCGGTCACCTGGAGGCGGACACAGTGACGCTCAACGCCATCTCTCAACAGGTGAGAAACATTTTGGTCTTTGTATATATATCGCCACAATAATATATATA